TACTAATAAGTAGCTTTATTTTAGTATTTCTAGATCCTATAGCAGATTAACTACTCCTCTTAGTAAGAGACTAGTTTTCTTATAAATTTATTATAAAGATCTTTTTTTACTAGTTTATAGTTTTATTAATCTAATAGACATACTACTATTACCTTATAAATATAAGTAACTTATAGTTTAATTATAGCCTATATAACTAAGGCTATAATCTCTTTAGCTTAGTTTTAATTAATTATAGCTACTATTTTTTTACCTTCCTTAAGGTTAATCTCTAGCTAAAACTTATTAGATCTAGTAGTACTTCTAGGTTTACTACTAGAATTTAGTTTTCTAACCTAAAGACTATAATAATATAGTTATTAATCTATAGTAAAATATTAGTAATCTTAGTTAAGCTATTTATCCTAATTACCTTAATAGAAATCTTTAAGAGGGCTTCCTTTATATAGATATATATAGTAATTAGTTACTTACTATACCTAAAGGAGAGTTAAGTGTCCTAAGTAAAAAGTAGGTCTAGTAGAAGTAGATTAGTTATTTTTTATTTATTCTTAATAAAAAAGCAGGAGGTCACTTTATATCTATTAATCTAGATATTAGTAAAGTAGAAACTATTAAACGTTATATTACTACCTAGATTAGACTTAAAAGTCCTTATTTAGAGACTAGTAACTATATATAGAATCCTAGTAGCTTTAGCGTACTACTTTAAGAGGATATTAACTTACGCTTTAGTGTTAAAGGTTACTAAGATTAAAAGGCCTTTATTTAACTAATTAATATTTAATATTTAGACTTTTAGTTATAGGTATATATTTAAAATAACTAAGGTTAGTAGTTTTACTATAGGCTTTACGCCTTATACTTTATTAATTTTAATAGATATTAAGGACTTACTATTAATTAAGGTATTATACTTATTTAGTAGTTCTTTAATATCTTTTTATTACTAAGCTACTTCTCTAAGATTAATTAGGGACTTTAGGGCCTTAATTTAAACACCTTTAGTATTAATATACCCTTAATTATATAAGGTAACACTTATAGCTATATTAAACTCTAGCTATATTTTTTAGAGAAGTCTAATAAGAAGTAAGACTAGAGCGTCTAGCTTTTTATTAGCTAACTTTTTTATCTCCTAATATAAATTAAGGCCTTAAGCTTACTTAGAGGCTATAACTTCTTTTAATTTATTAGGCTCTCCCTTACTTATATATAGTTTATAGTCTTTAAGAGTAGTTATAAGTTTTATAGGCTTTAGTTATAGTAAAATAGTTATATTTATTTTAGCTAGTAAGGACACTTAATCTAGATTATAATTATAGTTACTATTATTATTAACCTTTATAATCTTTTTATTCTTTAAGGTAAATAAAATAGTTTTCTTTTTAATTAGCTAAGGCCTAACTAACTTCTTTATACTATATACCTCTTATAATTTATCTTAAGTACGTTTATCCTAGCTAGTATAGTTCTTAAGAGGCCTACCTTATTATACTATAAAGACGTTAGTATATTCTTACTTTTTATCTTCTAGTTATACTATATATAGGCACCTAATATTACTTATTAGTGCTATAAATAGTAAATCTAAAGTGCTTTACTAAAAGTATCTAACTTATTAATTTAGGATACACTTTACTAAAAACTTATAGTCTTTATTAGTAAATATATTTATAATATAAGAAAGTAAAGTAACTTAATTAGTAACTCTACTTTATTAGCTATTTTTAATTACTAGGAATAGTATATTATTTATTAGACTTTACTTATCTTACTTCTTATAATACTAGGCTCTTTAGACTAAGATTATAAGATATACGTCCTTATTAAAGGTGTATTACTTATAATCTTAAATAAATTAATACTTATTAGACTAGTAGTACTAATATCTATCCTTTAGTCCTAATACTTTTACCTAATTTAGTTATACTATACTAACCTTAAACACTTAAGTAAACCCCCTTAGCTAAATAGAATTCTAATATATCTTAAGTTTACTTATACTATTAGTAAGGTCTTAATTAGTATTACCTAGGACTAGTTAGTTAACCTAGACGTTAATAGTTAATTATCTTAGTTACTAGTAATCTTAGTACTAATAAGTAGAGTTTTTTTAGGACTATTACTAAGCTAGTTAAATTATAGAGGTACTATTAGCCTTACTATTAGTAAATAAGGGCCTATACTTCTTCTTATAAGTAATTATATTAAGGAGTCTGCTCTTAAACGTTACATACTTTATTAATTAAATAAAGGCTAAAAGGCTAATCTTTATTTTATTTACTACCTTTTTTATAGTCTTAGTATTAAATTACTTATATATAGCCTTAATTAGGCTTTTATTAGAAATTATATAGAGGCCTTATTACTTTACTTTAGTAATTATATTATTAACGCTAGTAAAAAGTGCTTTAGCTAAGTGTAGGTCTAAGCTAAAGATTAGTAACCTCTTTATATTCTTCTTAATTTATTCTTCTTTATTAAGGAATTAATTAGCGTCCTGTCTTTTATACTCCTTTAAGAGATAAGCCCTAGCTTAGTCCTAAGGTAAGTCCTTAATTATATCTTTTACTAAAGTTTAATAATCTCCCCTTATATAGTAGGCTACTAGTATACCCCTTAATTAGTCTAGTACTTATATAAGCTTATATTAATCCTTATATTTTTTTAAGAAGTTAATAATATTATCTCTAGAAAAGACTATAGTACTACTCTAGCCTAAAAAAGGTATCTTAAAAAAGTTTAAGTTCTCTCTTTAGTTAAGGACTATATTTACTATTACTTATAAGACCTTAGGCTAAATCTAGGTAGTAAGAGTAGTAAAGAAGGTATTTATAAAAGTATTAAGTTCCTAAGAGATAAAGGGAGGTTTTTATTTCTAATTAGGTACTATAAGTAGAAGATTAGAAGTGTTATTACTCTCTTTATCCTTAGAAGGATTAATCCCCTTTAGCTTTTAATACTTAGTAAAAGCTAGTCCTCTTACTAAAGTAGTGTTTAAGGTTAAGCCTAAGGTATACTTAGGAGCAGCCTCTTAAAAAAAAGTAGTATAGTTATTACTTATTATATTAGTTAGTAGTTATTTAGTATATAACTTATTAATTAAGTTAAAGATTTTAATAATTATATACTAATTTAAACTCTTTAAGATCCTCCTTAAGAGTACTAAGGTAACTTATTTTATTATTTAAACTAAGGCTATACTCTTAATTAGTAGAATTTATATAATTATCCTTAACCTTAGCTAAACTTATTAACTAACTTTTAATAAAAAAGGTCTTTTAATTTATTATAATTTCTTTATAAAGTTATAATAGTTATTTAAATTAGTATACTTATAAGGAGTCCTAAGGCTAATAGCTCTATATCTCTAGATTAGGTAATTCTTAAGGCGCTATCTTATATTAATTAACTATAAGTAACTAATTATAACAGACTACCTTACTTATAAGGACCTTTAAGAGCTTTATTTAGCTCTTTTAGTATTTTTATAATCTATTTTAGTTATTATTATAAATTAGTAACCTTTAAGGTTCTAACTTATTATCTTAGTCTTATAATTAAGTAATTTTTATTATCTAAGTTACTAATCTATTACTTTATTATCTTATTATCTTTTTAAGGTTTTCTTTATTCCCTTAATTAGTTACTTCTTATAATCCTATTATCTTATTATTACTACTTTTTATAATTACTTACTTAGTGTGCTTAACTAGATATCTCTCTAATTAGTTTAAACCTATAGTTAATCTTTTAGAAGGGGAGACTATTAAAAGCGTATAGGGTATAAGGGACTCTTATAGTGTAGTAACTATATAGAACACTATAACTACTAAAAGTAACATAAGATTCCTTATTAATTAGTATATAAATTATATTAATCTATTTAGAATTAATATTAATTATAAGTGCTAAACTATAGGATTAAGTATAATTATACCTTAATTAGGTAGGTAATTACTCCTAATTATCTTATGTTATTATAATTAAAGGTAAATTATAAAGAGGCTCTAGTTTAATTAGAAGGTAGGTATAAGTATAAAGGATAAATTATACGTGTTTATCTCTAAATCTATTAACGCTAGCTTATATCTCTATACTTAATTAGGATTAGGATCTTCTAATTAGCCTGTATACTGTCTTGCTTTAGGCTAATTACCCTACCTTACTCTAATATATATAATTTATTCTTTATACTTATACCTACCTTCTAATTAAACTAAAGCCTCTCTATAATTTACTTTTAATTATAATAATATAAGATAATTAGGAGTAATTACCTACCTAATTAAGGTATAATTATACTTAATTCTATAGTTTAATACTTATAATTAATATTAATTCTAGATAGATTAATATAATTTATATACTAATTAGTAAGGAATCTTATGTTACTTTTAGTAGTTATAGTGTTCTATATATTCACCGCACCGCAAGAGTCCCTTATACCCTACGCGCTTTTAATATTAAAGAGGAGGGTGATAGACTATAGAGAGCTGCTGTAGATATACTACCTATTACAGCAGAGGAAGTAGAACGGCAGCTGTTTGTAACAAAGTCCTAGAAGGCACCTGGAGAGGATGGGCTCCTGGTAGTGGTCTAGAAACAACTATAACCGGTGGTGCAGGATTAGGTCCTATGGACTTTCCAGGCATCGCTTGAAGAAGGAACACTACTCCACCAGTGGAGACATACAAAGATCATATGGTTGTCCGAGAGACGACAAGCCTACCCCGTCATTTAGGTGCGACAGATTCTTAGATTGGTAGGCTTTATCCTTTCTTGGGATATACTTTGGAGTAGAAATACGAGTACCACCAGTCCACCGAGTCACCAACACTGAACTCGACCCAGGTCATGTTTTCATTAGAAACACGGTGTGGCGGTGACATCTTCAAGGAGACAACGTACGTACCATACCTGTCAGCAGAGAGACCAAAGCAAATTCCAGAACATCCATGAACGCCAATGCGTACCCCTAAGCAGTCTAATCGAACCTGTCCCAAACATGCCTCGTGACCATCAACATAGCGAAGGAGAAGACCGATGATTATGTTTCGTCCACCGATACTGCGCTGACACGGTCGAACGTCCTCTACATCATCCAAAGAAGCGGTTGAATAGAACCAGGGCGTTTGTGGGTTTGACACCGGGGCCCTGTACGTCGGCTGAGGGAGGCTAACAGAGGGGCTCAACGCTGGCTCCGGGTTGGAACTCTCGAATGCCACGTTACGTATGCCGACAGATGATTCCTCAACAAAAATTCGGCTCGATGAGTCCTGGGACGGGAGATCTATCAAAGCAAGCCTTGTCGTTGGTAGGATGTCCAAATGCGGACCAAAGACAAGGCTTCGGCCTCGAGTTGTTGTGAGCTGCACACGTGTTAATATGGAGTTTTCCCATGGACCAAAGCACTTACAATTAATGCTATTTCTTGCTTTGTTGTACCGCGGATCCAAATTTCTGCTATGTTCTCGTGGTCGTACAACGGAAAAAATAGCCAGATTCCGTTGGCTCGGTTATGGTACATTGACAGCTCTTTCTCTCGGGTATGAGTATGTATCGACATGATTCGAGTATTCCAATGGACCGAATACGCAACCACACTTGGGTCGTTACACGACACTACGGACATTCTCTCTACTTCAGGTGACACCTCAAGTTTAATCAAACGAGGCGCCGTGGATGGAGGGACAGCCCACAGGACGTTCGCCCAGCGATGTTGGTTCGAGTTTGGACCCTTAGAAACGAACCAACGTAGTTTGAGACACTGGATCGTGTTAGTGATGTCTAAATAGCAAATTGAATACAGTACCCTGCTTCGAGCCGCAAGTGTGGGGGAACGCTCGAGGTCCACTACCCGCCACCAAAGACCTCGAAGTTCCTCGACATCCGGTGTGGGATAGCTGAAAAACATCTTCCTAACACCGAAGTAATCCTCCGCAAGATACACAAATCTCCCGAGGGCTGAAGTAGGGTCGGGTTCAAAGATGAGGTGATTGTGGTAGTCATCGCCATTGTTACTCAGCGACGACAGGTACGAAGAGCCTTCGAACTCTGTAAAACGGCCCCAGATCTTGGACGAGAGGCACAGGGAGAATTCCCCACCGCGCACAGCGCGAAGAGCTTTGGCGCATGCCACTGCGTATGTTCGAATACACAAATTCGCAGCAATCTTAGAACATAGCTCAGGGGGTAGTCGACGAAAAGTCCCGTTCAGGAAAGCGACGAATGTTTGACGAAGCCAGGCTTCCCGGATGTCGCACTCAGAAGGTGTCGGCGTATAATTAAAGGCCAACACCTTGACGGCTTCTGAGACGGGCCAAGGAGATACCTGATTGGCGCATTCGACATGACAGCCTGTTGTTCGCCCTTCCCAGTGTGAACAGTCCCCCAGACATTTCATATAGCTCGATCCACGTTGGTCAACTGCATTGTCTTCATAGACCATGTCGTCGGAAATCTGACCAGCGTCCTCCACTTTTGTCGGAATTAGAGGAGCGATGACAAGAGGGTGACTAGACTCACCAGCGACAATGCGCTCTCCGTCGTGAAGCCTGAATCTGCACAGGCCACATCGTTGTGTGATGCAGAAAGTCATGGTAGCAAGGAAGGGCAAAGAGCGAAAACAGATGATTTGGGGGGGAATGCCAGCTCTGGAGGGGAATTAATATGAAGCCGGACCATGATACATGTCTCAGATGACTCAGCACCTGACGCCAAAAAGCATGTTCAATGCCGGGTTATAGCTGTTCCAGCACTTGAGTGATCTAATTGATGCCTCAGGCACTTAGATCGGGAGGAGCCCAACCCACATACTGGCTCCGATCCAGCCTTGAAAGTCCTGGCAGTGTCATAAACATATCGGGCGTGTGGTGTATCTGGGTAGCTAAGGCGCAGCCGGCTTTTTATTAAAGAACCCAATTCTCATTGCCTCATCTTTGCGACGGTATTGACGTAGCAGCCGACCTTGCAACATACATGTATGGCTTACTTGACTTCAATATCCTAAGCATCAGGAAGTGACCAGACGCGAAAGAGCAGAGCCACGGCTAGACCAGTCTGCGAAGCCTGGACTCAAGGAATGACCCCAAGGCGGGAGCGGCTCTGGAGCTCCGTTCTCCACCATAACATTCCCTATGACCTGCTCTTTATCCTCCAGCCCTGACCTCCTTCGCCTTAGCTTATGATAAGTTAAAGCACCTACTTATAGCCCCCCCCTGCATTTGGCCCACCCTAAAAACGATGCTATCACAACACCACTACTTTATTTAATTAACTATTAATAACCTCTTAATGCCACGATAATACAGCTTTTAGCCTTACTAGGTAATTCTAATGCGCTAGATTCATCTAGCTTACTTTTAGTATTACTAGCTACAATCTAGGCTTGCTGCACCTCCTTAATTATTACAAACTTTATATTTAGATCTAGTGTAACAGCCTTCTGTTTTCTAGTTATACTGTTAGTAACTTAGGCTTCTAGAAGGCTTATTTTTTACTAGGCAGCAGCTAGTATATATAACTGCTCTTAGAAGCCTTTTTTAACCTTTCTAAAGAGCTAGTATTATATAGTAATATTTTACTTTAGTTAGCTAAATAGTTAAAGTTAATCCTTAAGGTCCTTTACTTTCCTTAGCGTAGACTACTTTACACTAAATAGCTAACTATTTATACTATTAGTATCTTAGGCCTTATAGATATCTTTAGTAGCTAGATTAAGTAGTATTAATAGTATTAATAGTGTTATTATTACCTTTTAAACTAGTAGCCTATTTATAAGTAGCTTTACTATACTAATAGGCTATAACCTAGTGTATTTCTAGCTACTTTTAATATTACCTATAGTTAATTTAGCTAGATAAGCCTTATAATAGTAAGAAATAAAGTTCTTTTTACTTATAATAGTAAAGTTAATCTACTAACTTAGATATCCTAGCTTCTTCTTATATACTACCTTAATAAGGCTAAAGACTAACTAGTTAAGTAGCTAGAGGATATAAGAGGTATATAAAAGTAAGAATAATAAATAGACGTTATTAATATAGTATAGCTATATAAACTTTATTATTATATAGCTTTTATACCTATTTAGGATAAGTAGTTTAGCCTAATTAGGCTAAGAGGGCTTAGTTTAAAGGAGAAAGACCTTTTCTAACTATTTAATAGTAGTATTATTAGTAGTCTATCTATTCTTTATTACTATAAATTCCTATTTATTATATAGATTAAGATTAAGAGGAAACTACTACTACTAGACCTTCTTACCTTTATATATAACTAAGGGATAAAAAGTATTACCTTTAGTAAATATACACTTAATAATAAATACTTAGGCCCTTAATCTAGGCTGCTTTTTCCTTACTATATATATTATAGCCCTACCTAGCACTAGCCTATTATTACCTTTACCCTTAAGGATACTAGTCTTATCTATATTATATCTATTAGCTAGGTTAATAGCCTAAATATAAGGTATAGTAAGATATTTAAACTAGTCCCTAATAACCTTAGTAAATACCTTATTAACACACCTTAAATTAATAAATTAACTTCTCTAGACCTTAATAGATAGGTTCCTCCTAATAAAGCTATCTACTTATTTCTTACCTATAGGTTAGGTATCCCTTATAGTATAAAGGATATAATAGGTAAAGTCCTTAAGTTATTAATAGGTTAGTAGCAGCCTAAGGTTAGCCTAAGCAGTTACCTAAGTAGCTAGGCTAGCCTCCTAAGTAGCTAATAGTTACTAAAGGTCTTTAAAGGTAACTAATTACTATTAGTAACTATTTATATAATACTAAAGTGTTAATTATAGTACACCTTATTACTTAGAGGTAACCTAATAAGATATACTACTTATAATATTAGTAATTACCCCCTTAACCTTATCTTTAGTATATTAGACTATAGGGTATTAAAGAAGGTATTCTAAAAAAATAAAGTAATTTAATAAAAAATTAAAAATGTTGTAATAGTTTAAATTTGGAGGTTATCTAGAAAGTTGGTGGCTGGGAGGCATTTTTGGGGTGGGCCAAATGCAGGGGGGGGCCATAAGTGGGTGCTTTGACTTATTGGCAGAGACGAAATACGATATATGGAATGCATGTAGATTTGCTCTCGAAGTCCCAAAAATCGTATATGTACTAAACAAGTGGAAAGAGAGAGACAGAAGAGAGACGGAAAGGCAGCGACAGAAAACAGATCGGGGAAAACGAAAGATGGAAAACAGAGTTGTAGAAATAGGAGAGTATTAGAGACTCAACGTCTGCTCATACCATGTGGCCTGTAGCCCCAGTACTTCTTATCCTTCTTCCAGGTCCATACCTCTCCATCACGAGTTCGTTTCACGTCCCAGTCCTCAATCTCGGTACTGTGTATCCTACCTTTCTTGTGCTTTCTGAAAAGGAACTTGTCCTTGCGCAACGTATGTGATTCATAGGTAATCTCAATCCGTTTGGGAGTTGCGTTTCGGCTCTGACCTGTCCCCTGAGGGGCTTGGGAGGGACCGGCTCCGGCTTCTTGGTCCATCTCCTCAGGTTCCGACTCAGAAACCCCCCCTTGTTGCGCGGCAATATCAGCCATCATGGCATCGCCTTCATAGCCCAAGGTCTCGTTTGGTAGGTTGTCTGCTGAATGGTCCACCTCCTGTGCGAGCGGGTCCAGCGGGTCTTGTCCGTGTTCCTCTGTGGGTATAATTGGTGTACCACTTTTGACTTGATTATAGTAGCTTTCCAACTTGTTTCCACCTTCAGTACTCAACTCAACATATGCGCTGCGTCCATCGCGTGACCCAGATTTGGGGCCACCGTCGAGAGGCTGAAGCTGAAGACTGACCGAGTCCATCCACCAAAACCGGAAGTATAAGGCGCGTTCAATCCCGAGGACTGTTTGCACGAAGAGACCGACAAGGCTGTACTGCTGGATAGATGCTCGAGCATTTGCCAGAGCTTGGCTCTCAACCGCCTTGGATGATCCGCCTCCACCTTTCATCTCCAGCAGCAATCTCGGAACAAGCAACCCAGGTGCAGAATACATGATATTGTGTTCGAAGATGAGTACGTCAATTCGGTAATTTCTGCGAGACCCTAGGTCTGGAGGCTGCTCAAACGCCGGGCAGAAACTATCTTCGATCTTGAAAAAGATAATGACAATGTTTTGTAACAAAGCTGCGGCCCCGTACTCGATGGGATCGCCCGCCCATCTGTTGTAGAGCCCCACAAGTGGCGGATATTTGATGAAAATGTTGCTCATGATGATTCGTTATCTTGTTGTCGATGCCTGTATAGGGATCGGCGAAAGAACAAAGCTGAGGGAAGCCCAGGTTTTATAGTTAAATCTCTAGGTGCAGAATCCCGAGGTACCGAATTACTACAATGCGCTGCCTGGCGGCAGCAGAAATGATAACAACATCCCACATGGGAAGACAGCATTTTTGCGCCTGCCTTTGTAAACGGAGGGTTACAGCGGTGGAGGAGATAGACACGAAATCGGGAGGCAGAAGACGCCGCTGGCTTACCCGACGTGGACAAGACAAACAAGGACGGGAGGTGCCACGCCCGGAGCCAGTGAGGTTGTGGAGCTAGGGGATATTTCCGGACGTACAGTCTCAATTCGTGCGGATAAGATCGTCCTCCTTGAGTCAGGGATGTAAGTTGGATGGCAAAATGCACCATCATCTTGGCACAGGCACTGCTAAGAAGAGAGCGGCAAGCGAACCGCCTACTCGCTCAAGTGAGTCCGTTCTCCCAAAGGTATTCTTTCTGTTTGCAGGTCTATGCACTCACAACTCGCTGAAAGTTTGATTGTGAGGTGGGCGTAACCAGCATCCAGGTAGGGGTACTGTATATGTGGAGGTGGTACGCTTGAAGTGACCACGGGCTGGGCTCAACCTGTCCCGGGAGGACGGTTGCGCCTGACATTTGTTTTGGCTTTTGTTGTTGGCGTTCTGTGCATGCACAGGCTCGTGGCTGCATGGCGCAATTGCTGCTACCCTTTTTGTGGAGCAGTGGTGGTCAGTAAATAGGATAGGATCAAGCACACGGGTTTGATCCGAACTCCAGATCGATGGAGGTCTGGCGGTGTTGGGAGCCGGACCTGCTGTGAGCGTGGGATGTAGGACTACATGCCCGTTTGAATAACGCTAGCGAGTACACACCCACACATGTATCCATGGTGTAGTCGCCAGAGCTGTCTTGCAGTGAAGGCGAACCTGGTAAGTGAGCTACCCGGGTAGGGCCCACCATGAGCTCCTATGCTGGGGTGCCCTGCATATGCCGCGGATGGATGATGACTATGGCATCAACCCCTGTCGTACTTCAACGCGGAGTAACATATCAAGCCAATACACAAATGCCTCAAAGGGCTTAAGTACCCCTATGCACAACCAGGAACGGCCTGCAGTTCTCGCTGGTTCGTTATGCAAGTCGAAAGACGGTCCTGTCATTGTGACCTAGGCGTGGGCTATGCAGAAACCGTTCCTTATCAGACATGGTGGTACGGTGCCAGCACGTCTTTCCAAGGCAGCCATGACGGGCAAGTCACAAGAAGGCCCATTATGCGACCAAGGTGCGTGCTCTGATGTGTTGAAATATCCCACATTCGGTCATCCTGTAACGCCATGATCTGATCGAACCAAACAGACCAGGTGGGCTGGGCCTAGGACTCTAGCATGCAATTCTTGGAGCGATCCCACACTCGAAATCGCCAATGGTTCAGCCTTTGCTGGAATTGCCACGAGGCGACTGGCACTGAGATTCCTGGCGAGTGGTCTGTGTCTTTACCCATGTGGGGATCAACCATTTTTGGTCCACCACTAACAAAGTAGCATTCAAATTTCCTTTTTACTACCTGTACTACCAAGCCGTCTCCGAAATTTCCCTTCACCGTTTCTTCCGTTCCCACTTTAACCTTAAGCCTGCTTTACTCGTGCCACCCCACCCTTTGCATATTCATTTCGAACCTTCTGTCAGCAAGACCCACTCTGCCCTACACTTCCAAATTTCTATTCAAAATTCTAGTCCTTTCCTAAATTTCCTACGAACTAAGAGTCCAATACCCTTTTTTTGCTGTCACCTATCTGAGTCACCCGTACCCCACTTCCTAAGCCCCTCCTCTCCCATCCGTTCCATCCATCCTTCCCATGCTACCTATACAATATTCGATTGGAAACACGACTGTCAACCTCTTATATACAGTGCTCCAGTCACGCCCGATAGCCATTTGTGCCTAACTCTCGCCTTCGGCGGTGGGGCAGGCAGTTCCTAAGCCCCGCGCTTCCTTTGGGCTCTTGGAACGGGACCCAAACGATGCCTGTGTTTGACATGCCAAACTGTGACGAAAACCTCACGAACGGGCAGAATCAAGCTCTCGTCACTTCTTTCAGCAGTAGACACTCGAAACCCTCCCTTTTCAGAGTACGAAAGACGTTAGCTACCCGAGCTGTTGCGGGCTAGCTGTTCATACAGATCAGATCCCGATGGCGGTGCGTCCATTCTTGCTTATCGTCATGACCTGAGCTAACATGCTAAAGGTATTTGAACCAAAGGAGCTCGACAAGAACGATGACTTCTTCTCCGACGCGAAAAGGGGCCCCCAGCCAATAGTTGGGTCGGGACAGATGGTATACTGGCAGGGATGCACTGTAAAAGTATTCGAAACTGAGAAGGAACATCTGCCACCTCTTCAGCGGCTAGAGGCGTGCAATGGCCAAGTACGGTTACAGAAAGGCGTTAGCCTCTTGCTTGAAGGAGGGAAAGTGAAGGAGCCGGCTTAGGCTTAACCATAGAATTTCTTCTTAACTGTCGACGCATACCACTCTCCCAAGAACACTTTGAGCTTAGCACTCTCCTTTGCGTGGCCTGATATCGCCATCGAAACGCCCTCCGTGTGGTTGAGCCCTTTGGCGTCCTCAAGCTGGTAGATAGGAGATGTATATGCGGCTTGGAGCAAATCGCGCCCAATCCGAAACAGACCGGTGAGATCTCGCCGACAGCCCCGCAGTGTAATCGATGGGTCAGGCTCTATTTTGCAACCCCCTGGAATGCGCACTGATCTGACGCCATCCTTGATTTCCACCTTCACGCCAAAGTACTCGAGCGCAAGGTCTGCTACCTTTTCCTCCGTGATTCCGATTTCCATCTGACATCCGAAACGGTCTCGGATGTGTCCTTGTTGGAATATCATCGACATGTCGGCGAACCATGTACCAGGGTGCTCCTTGCTCTCTATCCTTTCGATCGAGTCCCAGAACTGGTCATTGATCAGTTCCTCGGCTTGCTTGAGTGGAGCTCCAACATATACGTTCCTCCCAGAGACTGCCGATATATGTTCTGAGTCGCTGTATTCCGGATTGGAGTTACTTGACATTGTAAATGATGACACAGCAGCTGCCGCGTGATTCGTGACGCCTAGAAAGATTTCAGAAGGGATATCGATTGTTGGGTGAACCACCTACGACGTCGTTTAGCAGGTTGAGTTGTGCCATTGTCTTTTTCAGCTTCCATTGACGAGGCGAGCTGCCTTGCGAAGGCACACTTGGATTCGGTAGGCCCTTGCTCGAGTCTGTCGAGGGAATCCTTGAGTTTGGCCTGACCTCTGAACCCGTGTTGTGATGATATCTTTTTCTTTGCCGCGTAGTAGGCGAGCCAGACGGGTTCGCTGGTGTCGACAAGGATCCGCTCTATAGAAGTCACATCGGCTTGTTTTGCGATCGATAGAGCAGTTTTTACCCCGTATGTACCACTCCTCCCATAGTTTTGAAGCGTTAGTGTGGTGAGTTCTTGCCAATACTGTGGTTTATCATACTCCATCAAGAGGGTCCATAGCGGGGGGGTTTGGAGAGAAAATTGGGAAGAAAAAGAATATTGGGAAGCGGCAAGCGATTGGATTATGACAGGCAAAGTACTTATTGACGCACCGAAAATGCCAGGATGTTTAGCTTAGCCCACTTGCCCCAGCAAATTTCCCCAATGCTTGTCATGACCCTTCCTGTAAACACCGGCCTGTGAGTGGCCAATTCTTATCACACCACGCCTCATCACATATCTGGAGGGAAAACGGTGCCATGGGCACCAAGGGAAATACGCCAGCAGCACTATCCCATTAAGTGCGAAAGGACCTCACATAACCCAAAAGTGGGTCTCTGCAAATAATTACTGACAGCAATTGGATGGTTAGCCTGGGTTACAGCGGAGACTCGAGGCGGAGACATCCGAGCGCGTCGGCTGTCTGCCAGGCCCCGCTAACCGGGCATGGCTGCGGAGTAAGATACAGTCTGTTGCGTTAGCAGCGTCCAAAACCTATTTTTCAGTCCGTGCACCCGCGCCACACAAATGCAACCCCATGCAAATTCGCGTTTTTTAGCTAACAGGATCCAAAATCGACATTACCTAACATTAGATAGTCGTAACAACTCAAAGTCACGCATACTAGCAACAATAATAATAAGAAGGGGATTTAGACCTATATAAAGCTACTTATGTCAAATGTGGTGGAAGTGCAGGTGAATTAGCCGGCGAATGCACGGTTGCCCTACGGCAAATTGTCAGGGAATAGGCAGTGAATTAGCTCCACTTTTAGGGTAACTTTACTAATAATATCGCCAGGATTAGCTAGGGATTTCCTAACTAAGAAATAGGGGTTTTTCCCTATTTCTATAGTAATTTACTATAGTTATAAAACATATAATAGAATTAATTAAGTAACTATTATAATCCTTATAATTTAATAATTAATAGTCTAATATATATATTTATAATAACTAATATACTTATTTATTAATTAATATTATTATAATAATTAATAAGAATAATAATAATAAAGTAACTATCTTATAATTATATAGTAATTAGTTTATATAGCTTAGTACTATTTAAGTAAAAGTAAAGCGTTATAATCTTTAGAAGTATATTAACCTAAAGGTTATAGTAGTAGACTAATTAATTTTTAAGATATATCTAAAGAAACTAATAAAGCTACTTATAACGTAATATCTATACGCCTTAAGTAAAAATAAGCTTACTACTTACTAAGAGGTTACTATAGCTATAGTAATTACTAAAATATCTTAGTAAGTAACTATATAGCTATATATAGTAAAAGGTAAGGCTATTATAGCTATACCTAATAGGCTTATATATAAAACTAAATACATAATAACGCTAGATAATCTTAACTTATATAATCTTATATACTTAAATAGCTAAATAAGCTACTATTATAAGAAAGTATATAAGTATACTACTTAGTAAAAGGATATTAAAAATATAGCTAATATAGTTAAATTTACTATATTTATAGATCTTTAAGAAAGATATTATAAATCTAATAAATTACTAGCTAAATAGCTTAATAAGCTTAGCGTAGTAGTAAGAATAACTAAAGAAGAGCGCGTAAAGTATACTTATAATAAGTATAGTAAAGTGTTAGTAAAAGCCTAGTAAAAAGCCTTAACTACTAAAAAAGATCTTACTATATAGCTTAATAAATAGAACGTAGCCTATAGTAAATTAATATAAGTTAATTTACCTAACTATTAATAGCTATTAATTTAGTTTAATAATCTTACTACTATATTATAAAGTAGTACACTTAGCGCCTAGCTAGATTTATATATAGTAATAAGTAAAATAATAAGTAATTAAAATAATCTTAACTAGTAGTCTTTTTATAAAATAGCACTAGAGAGGGTTAAAGCCTTTACTAATAACTTACTATATTATAGCTAAGTAGGCTATAGTGTATTTAGCCTAACTATAAGTAATAATAATAATAACCTAACGTATAGTAAAGATATAGTAAAAGAGAATAAATTAACTAATAAAAGATATTACTATTAATAAAATATAAGTAAAAAGGTAGAGTGCCTTATATACTTTAGTGCCTATTTATTATAACTTTATTACTTTATAAATAAATTATAAAGGCCTAATAATTAGTAAGTAAAAATATAATATTAGTAATAAATTAATAAGTATATTATAAGTAATCTTAATCTTTCTAAATAAGTATAATAAATTAAAGCTAAGTTATATTAACTATATAGTAAATACTATATAAAAGTAGCCTTTTATACTACCTTATAAGGCTATAAGCTAGGTAATTTAGCCTTACTAGATTTAAGTACTACTAATTATATATTTAACTATATATTATAGTTTATTATATTAGTAGTAGCTTTAATTAGTAACTATATTTAGGCTAGTACTACCTAAGTTATAATTAAAGGATATAGTACTATAGAGATTACTTTAAAGAGCACTAATAGCTTACTAATAAAGCTTTATATATATAACGTAATATATTATAACGTATTTACTATATTACTTATTTCCTTTATAAGGCTACACTAGTAAGGTATATAGTAAGATATAAGCCTAGGTAATAATTACCTAAGGCGTATTAACTATAGCCTTATAGGCTATATAAAAGAGTAAAGTAACTAATAAGTGCTTAAATATTATAAGTAATATAGCTATAGCTAAGAAAGTAAAAGCGCTTTTACTATAAACTTTACTAATAATTTACTACTAACCTTATAAGTAAGAAATAAATATATAACGTTAATATAGTAATAACTACTTTATAGTAATATAATAATATAGTATAAGCGTCTTAGCTACCTAGGTGCTAAGGCTTTATAAAGGATTATAAATACTATACGTAAAGTATATCTAACTTAAGTTAATACTATAATAATATAAGGCTATAATTTATATAGTCTTAATAAAATAAAGCAGTAAATTTACTACTAGCCTTATAAATCTATTATAAATATAGCGCTAGGTAATTACCTAGCGCTAGACTTTTATAATCTTAAATAAGGCTATATAGGATACTACTTAGTAATAATAATCTTAAATTAGGTAACAGGCTTTATATAGGATTTCTACTTATATAGCTACTACTAAGATACTATTAAATTAATAATAAGAGGCTTTTTTATAATACTAAAAACTAAATATTTAATTACGCTAAAAGTTATTAAAGCTAACTAAGAAATCCTATACCTTAGGTAACTTATAGATACGCTTTTTAATTATAAGATCTTTATTAAGCTATTAGTAGTAAATACCTAGGCTTAAAATAGTGCTACTAAGTAAATTACTATAGTTATTAAACTTAAGGCGTAATATATATATATTAATATAAAATTACCTAAAGTCCTATAGCTTAAAATTATAACTATAGCTATATATCTTTATAATTAAACGCTATTAGTAGCTTAAGGGTAGAAATCCTTATATTAATTATTTTACTTATATTTTATACTTAATAAGTACACTTAACCTTTACTAATAGTAACGCTAGATCTTTTATATCTATAAGCCTATAGCTACTAAGCGTATATACTAATAGTAGACGTATAACTATTATAAAACTACTAGTAAAAGCTTACTACCTGTATATAAATTAGATTTCTTATTAGATATATATCTAGTAATTTATATTATATTTAGTATTTATTATAAAATAAGGTCTTTACTATATATAACGTAATATTTAATAAGAAATAACTCTTTAATAGATTAATAAATAGATTACTTAATAAGCTTTATAAAGCTAACCTTATAGTAATTTAATAATAAATTAATAAGCTAATTATAGCTAGTAATTAATCTTTTTTATATAAAGAAGCTAATAAAGAAATAGATAAAGTAGTTAAATACACTAATATTACTTTACTAGGCGCTCTATAATTAGGTAACACACTAGAATATCTATATAAGTAGGTAAAATTTATACTTCTCCTTACTTTACTACTGTTACTACTAAGCGCTTTTTTTATAGCCTTTATAGATTTTAATATAAGGGGTAGTAAAATAGGAACTAATAGCTCTAAATTGAATAATCTAATAGCTAATAGCTAAATACTTACTAATAGTAAGATAATTAAAAAGTAAATACCTAAATTAATAAGTAATAGCCTATTAATTAATTTATTAATAGCCTATAGCTTATAAGCTAGTAACTTACTTAATATAATTAAAGCTAATAATAGTTTAAATAGTTTATTAATAGCTAATAGTCTATAAGCTAGTAACTTACTAAGAACTAATAGTTCTAAAATAATAAGGATAGTAATCCCCTATACCTTATCTTATCCCTATATAATTAATTTATAAGATGTTACTAAGTGTAAAAAGCTATTAAATTCCTAAGTAACTATAGCTAGCCTATTAGGTAATCTCTAGCTAGTAGTAACCTTATTTAAAGGTGTTATAAAAAGGTATAATCTTACTATATATATAGGTAGTTAGATTACACTAAGGACTTTATTTAAGGCTGCTTTCCTTATAAGGCTAACTCGACACCAGAGGGCCACTTCCTGCGGGCCAATCGCAACACCT